CGACAAAAAATATTTTCAATGTTAAAAGTACAGAAAAAGCGCATACACTTTTCCTTCCATCGTCATATAGAAGAGCTTATTCATAATTTAAGATAGAAGTACCTACATCAGGTATTTTAATAAAATATTTATAAAAACCAATATAATCACTACTAAGCAAAAGACACTTGCTCAAGGTCGAAGGCTGGTCTTTGAAAAGATATATGTGTAGAAAATCCTACTCATCAATAATTAAAAGATGTTCTAATTGGAACTGGTTTGCGAATTGGTGTTGAAAACAAGCTGTATCCACGTGAACGTAGTAAAGTAATCTATGCTTTTTACCTACAAATTTGAAATATGATGAATATGAATTTAAAACTTCACATATTGTAGTACGAATAAATGATGTTCTCACCGATTCCGGCCACGGCGGCCAATCTCATTAAGACTAGCCAACTGCGCAGGAGATATTATAGTGCACAAGTGTACGCGCAGACACAACGTGCACTATTCCTGTCACTCTCATACTCCGGTGGGACGACACGAGACACGACCAGTGAGAGTTAAGGCACAGGACCGACGGCTTTACGTGCTCTCCGAGGCACGGGAGTGAAACACCGCCAACTTACCAACTCCGGGCTGTTACTGAAGCTTACTATACAGAAAGACTCAATAACTAAACTTGGCCCGACCGGGACTCGAACCCAGGACCTCCGAGTGTGCAGGCGTACATGCTAGCCACTACACCACCGAGGCAGTTGTAGGAATAAATATGGGATACATGTATGTATTTTCAAAAAAGGTCTGAATAAAATTCTGTTAAGTAAAAGTAAATAATAATTATTAGTTACAATAATTATGTATTTAGGGATTTTTAAAACTCGTTAAAATAGGAACCGATCTCGAACTCTACCTGTTTAACAAGGCAGCAATAAGAGTAAAGGAAAGAAAGGAAGAATAGCTTTTTTCATGTCACACTACACTGTATCTATAAATATCTTGACTACTTTTCCAGGAAAAGTTGAATTCGATAGAGATTTTTTTGGATTTACTGCTTTATTTGTTCTACTAATTTGTTGATTTTTCAGGGCTACTGCAATATTTTAGAAAGTGAACCGTTTATTACCGGTTCAACGCTTTTTTCATTACCTATTTTTTGTGTTTATTTTCTGTTTAGCCAAATAACTAATAATAAAAATTATAACCTTATCATTTAATGGAATAGAACACAATAGCAATTAGATAATGCTTGATATTACAAGAGTACTTGGTACAATTCCAAATGCAGTTATAACGGTCAAACAAAGCATTAGTATATGAAGCCAAGAATTCACATCGTCGATAATTTCAAATGCATATGAACAAAGATATCTGAATTATTCATTTATGTACACGTAGGTACAAATTATACACGTGTAATAAAAATAAGATTTAAAAATCATAATAAAATAATTAAAAACCGAACTAAATCTATAAAGATTTTGAAGTTCCTTAACTCTCACTGTCGCTCCCAACAGATTCGTTTAAATTTACGTATATAATACTAGCATTGCCCGCGGCTCCGCCCGCGTTCAGATGACCAAAAACTAAATTCTTAGGTGTTACATATTAGTATACTCTTACATTGCAGTTTTTGTATTTTTCCTCAGAAATAAGATATTTTCCCGCGGTAAAAAGTATCCTAGGATCGCGCGCTACATCGCCCGGTTTATATAGCTTGAGTAGGCGGTCGAGCGATGCGGGGCAGAGGGGATGGACTCGCCGTAGGCATCTCAATGCTCGCCAAGCATTAAAAATGTTTCGCTACTAATTACTTCTAACAACGATATCTCAAAAACTATTCATCTGATTGATTTAGTGTAAAGAGCAATTTTAATCTGCATTAAATGACTAAGCTAACTAAAATATTCATTTGGATAAGGATTAATACCGAACTAAAGAAAATAACTTTGAAAATAACGTAATGTTTTTAATTAAAAATGTTAACATAAAAGTGGTTATTGTAAGTCAACCGTAAGAGATAGAGATATGCTATCGCGGACTTTTTTGTAGCATTTTTATAGATTTTGAATTCTCTAGTACATTACTTAACTGTATCTTTGCTAGTTTACGCGGCGTTCGCGTGGAAAGTTCCCATTTGGCGAGATTTTTTGCGACCTCTTCAACATTTGTCGCCGTATTTCAGCTAATTTACATAAAAGCATAATAAATTATATACCTAAACCTTCCTCAAGAATTACTCTTTCTATTGTTGAAAACCGTATAAAAATCCGTTCAGTAGTTTTCGAGTTTATCGCGTACAGACAGACAGGAGGACAGACAGGAGGACAGAAAGACGCGGCCGGGGGACTTATTTTTATAATAAGTATAGATAACGGTCCATTCCATACAGCAACTAATTCTAAGAGTACGAAGAAAAGTTTTGAATCCCTTTAAAAGTTTCGCCAAGTCGAGGCAAAATATTTGTTAGTTAAAATTTAATTTTCTGTTAGGTACAAGGAGTTAAATATATACTTATACGTATATTTTATTATATTATAAGTATTTTAAATGTATTTATGTAATAGGTATGTGTTTTATTATATTATATTTTATATTACTTACATATATTATTCTTTAAATGTATCTTTATTTTTTACTTACTTAATTTTAAAACTCCGTTGAAATGGTTACAAACTCACGATTACATTAGGTAGGTATCTCCCATACATGTAGTTTAAAAATCCATCGGAATATGCCAATTACTTAAAGAAATGTCACAAAAAACATAGAAAACTTATAACTCTAATTAATTATACACTCAATTTGATTTTTTTCCTATTTTCAGATTTTTTCACTAACATAAGAGTAATGTTTGAAGCCAAATGACATACAACCTATACCTATAATATTTAATCAACTTTTGCCTAGAAATAAATTTATAGTAAATTAATTAAACTGTAAGCTCCTGTGTCTGTGTGTCTATCTGGGGAGCATCAGTATTATATTTGATATATATAATTTATAATTAATGCAAATAAAATATTTTGAAAATTTCAAAATCTGATATTAACAAATATTATTACGTGCTGGATAGCTGATTTCACAATAAACATATTTGATGAATCTTTCATTTTTTATAATAAAGCTACATATATACATATATGTGCATATAATTTGGTTAATAAATTCAAACGAGCATAAATTTTGTAATACATATGACGTCCTTATACAGGCTAAGACGCTTGTTAGCTTAAACCTATTTATTTAACAAGCTAAATTTCTCAACTGACGCAAGTGAAAGTAAGGTGGCTTAGTTCCTGCCTCTGATTAAGAGGTGTATTGTTACTGCAGCTATCTAAAACACAGCTATATATTTATACTATTCTTTATTGCACTTATATGTAAAATAGAGAAATTAACAAACAATAAAATTAGTTAGCAAAGGTGGATGGATCTCTAGAAGAGATTTCTTCCAGTTAACCTAAGCGAGATAGAGATATACTTAGTATTAAAAAGTAGGCAACGTGCTGTTACTCAAAAATATGAATACTTAAATAAATATATTAAATATACATACATATAATAAAACATAACATATTTTGCCAGATTTGGGCCTATATCATATTAAATACTAATATAAATAAATTCATGTAAAATAGAGCTAATGCTAGTTTTTCCCCATAACAGTATTTCAATTTTGCAAGTCTATGTTTATGAAACAGACGTCAGGGGAATATTTTCCTTATTTTATACATGTATAAGGCTAGCAACTACATAGTAAACTATTGTATTTGTGATGAGAGTTAGTAATGAATCATCTTATTATCAAAAATGCGTAAGTAAATATTTTATAAGTCTCATGCTTAAATTGTATGTTCTTTCGTAACAGGTAGTAAGTACGTAAAAATGGATAAAAAATGGCATTTCGAAATTATTCCACTAATTAATTAACTAATTAGTTTAGCTTAAACTTTTTATCCTTTGATATATTTTTTCTATCAAAAATGCCTGTTACAGTGTATAACGTTCTAATCCTACAAATATACAAAATATAAAAGATTTTTTTATTAAACTAATTCTATTCATACCCTGGTTTTTCAATTAATAGTTTTTTTTTATTATGCTCGGCAAACCAATAAGCTTTCTAATTCCTATTGTTCAAATTAGTTAACAATAAATCAATTTAGATATTGTCGAGTTTAATTTAAATTTATAAAATATGTCTACCTTTTTTATTTACAGTTAAGATTTGAGTATATTATTTGTTTAGTTTTTACTTTTTTCATCAGTAGATATATCTTATTAAATAAATTATTTATTGTGTATTTTTTCCAGGATTTGGTTCCACCACATTTGTAACACATTTAACAATAAAATACCCTTGTATTCGCGTTTTACTTTAAAGCAAAACATAAACATTTCGTTTTAGTTTTTTTTGTTTGTTGTCGGCATTCCGCTGTAATCAAACCTATTCTGAGAAAATTCTAACCGACTGCCTGTAACAGTTAAAAATTCAGTCCTTTAAATATGGGGATGGACAAAGAGACGGAAGATGAAGCCTAATAATAGGGTTACGTTTTAGATATGAAATTAAATTTGAGCATACTTTTAAAACATTCAATTATACACATAAATTTCAACAATTTCACCTAACATATACGTAATATTTTATATTTTCTGTTTTTAATTACGTCAATTAAAATTACATCTGAAATCCATTTACTTTTTAAAACAGCTAGTTCTCTTTGCGCTTTCACTGTAACATAAATCACTAAATGAAACTTTGAATTCTTACACCTGTAACGTGTGAATTATATTACCTATAACGTATAGGTATTTAATTTACTATGTTTAATTTTTATTTTATATTATTATTTATTATCTATCTAGGTACCTATTGTTGTTAGATATCAATATGATTATAATATTAATCAAACTTAAAATATATATACATATATATTTCAAGACAATTGTTCAAAATAGATATTTAAAAAAAACTATGTTAATAAAATTGGGTTTTAATATGTACTACTTACCTTGCAATAGTACGACAGCAATTATTGTTAATATTGTGAAGTTCATAACGGCACTTTCGCACTCTATATTTTCACATTAACAATTCCTGAACGTTGAGTTTTAACAAAAATTTTCATTTATTATGATTCAATTAAGAAGCGGATTTAGCGTAATACATATTGGCCGGCAAAACGACAGCGCTCCACTACGTGACCAAACAACTGTGTGAAACGAACTGTTTCCCTGCTTTATAACTGCCCTGCCTTTATGTAAGGGCGACAGATGTCTTTGATGCATAATTTTCCAACAACAAAAATAGTTTTCTATTTTCCGTGAAAAAGTAATATCGATGGAACAAACACTGGTGAAAAAAATATTATCATTTCATACATAAAATATTCAATTTATATGAAATTTTAAGAACCAAATTGTTTAATTTAATTTATGTAAAAAAAAAATAAAGACGTAGGTACGTACTACTTACCTACCGTTTAACTTAGGGTAGAGGCAACTTATTTAGTGTACTTGCTTTAAACATCACGGTTCACTCACGATCACATGTGCCGAATTTCAGTCCGCAGTATTAAAAAAATTTTGCCTGTTTTATATTATATATTATCTACCTTAAAATATAACTTCTAGAGCTTACACTTCTACTATCTCCCGTTTATATGGGGAAGTATAGCGAATACTATATCTGCTGTAAGGAAATATCACCCGAAGTAACATAAATTATAGCTAAGAACCATCTCGATCACGTCAGCTTTCACACAAAAACACGCATCAAAATCGGTCCTTTGGTTTAGGAGCTACCATGCCACAGACAGACACATTAAACTTATAACACCCCTCTTTTTATGTCGGGAGTTATAAACAATGACTTTTGCATAATATTGTGTACACATTTACATATTTTTGTCTGTTTATTTGTGGGCTTTTTACGAACAAAGTACTAAACGGATTTCAACGCGTATGTAACTATATTTTATGTAGCGATAACGAAAAGGGGAAATCTCAGGAAAATATCTCATTCCCACGGGAAAACTCAATCACTGGCGCGGCTGAGTTGTCCTTCATACAAAAACTTTATTGATTTATCATACAAACCTATTAGTAGCAGGGTTGACATCTCTCATTTTCATGGGGAAATGCATAATTTTTATTTGTTCAAGTGCAAATCTGCCTCTGTCTGTTCCTCCGCTTACTTCTTCGTACTTCGAAGTTCGACTCGTTGTTTAGGACCACATAACGGATTTTGATACAGTTTTCACTAAAAGAAGGTATGGGATAGACGAGGAAGGTTTGTGTATATAATTTGTAAATATTTTTTACAAAACAGCTGAACTATGGCGGTGTTTTGTCAAAAATGTGTTTTCACTGGCTAAAGAATACATTAAAACAATAAGCCTATAGAAAAGTATGCGATAGCCGATAGCATTGTCCTAAGTTACATATTTAGACGGAAGCATCCGAGAAAAGCAATTGTAAATGACTTGCTTTTAATTAAATAAAATCGATAATTTAACCCGACAACTAGGCACGGATTTCCCCGCAATGTAAGGAGGCTTAGGCCATGGTCAATCACGCTGTATTACCAGCGTAATAGCAGACTTAATGTTTTTCAAAAGCTCTCGACATCCAAGTTTCCTCAGGACGTTCCCTTTTACCAGGTGAGCTAGCAGTAATCTGTAGTCAAATTAAAAATCACATTTTTTTATGAAAATCTTAAACACAATATGAAACTAACAATAAGTACTTAATAAAACTCACATTCATATTTTTTATAATTAGGTTAATTATAAAATGTAATAGAACTTATATTACAGGTCTATTATAGGATTGTAAAAGTCTGAATTATAAAATATAATTAAATTTTATATCAATTGGTTGAGTAGCTAAAAGGCACGAAGTTTTAACTGTTCGCTATACTTGCCCAGGTAAAAGGGAGAGATAGTATAAGTGTAATTTCTAGAAATTATATTTTAAGATAAAATATCAATAATAACTTTATAAAGCAGGTAATATTTTTTTAATACTGAGGACTGAGATTCGTTACATGTGACCGAATTTCAGTTTCAGGAGTGAACCTTGATGTCAAAAGCAAGTAAACTAATAAGGTTTGGGCTCATAAGAATAGTCTCAATGAGAGTTATCTATTAGAATTAGTGTCCGCGAGTAGTTTAAAAAGGATGTAATAATAAAATTAAAGATTTTAAATAGGTAATGTAGCGTCGCCACGTGGGGGACCGCTAATATTTTTCTTTTATTTTCCTCTTTTTATTTATATTCTGGGGTTTATTTTATTTACTTAGGCGTTCCCCGACGCGACGTGGCAAAGCTCGTCATCAAAATATTAATAGGTACTTTAAACTAAAGGCCAATAGAAAAATTTTAATACTTAATTAAAAATATTTCATGAACTTATTTCGCTTCGTTACTATTTTATATAATCTATGGGACGAACGCCCATTATAATTTTAATAGCATTGCCCGCGGCTCCGACCGCGTTCAGATGACCAAAAAGCAAATTCTTAGGTTTTACATATTGGGTAGGTTTTATATATTTATAGGTACTCTTACGATGTAGTTTTTGTTTATTCAGAAATGAGATATTTTCCCGCGGTAAAAAGTATCCTGTGGACCCGGATAACCAGCTATCACCATACCAAATTTCATCAAAATCCCTCCAGTGGTTTTTCTGTGATGCGGTAACAGACAGACAGACAAAAATTCTAAAAACTATAGATTCGGCCTCTGTCTATCTAAAGTCTATTTCAATAAGATTGTCCAAAAAAATATCTAATGTACAGATTCAGCTTAGTTACAATTTTATTATATGTATAGATATGGTGTATACATAGATGACACAAATCACTGTACTATACAGTAAGTATACGTATATAATATCAATGTTAAAGTTACAGAAAAAGGCAGCGAAATAAATATGGTACACTAATTAGATTTTATAATATACATAACATTTTATGTGATTTATTTGTGTTAAGAGTCGAGCTTCGAGGACGTTACATTCTATTTATTAATGAACTGAATAATTTATTAATATAATTTATATTAATAAATAATTCAGTTAATATATTTATAATTATTTATATTTTAATTAAGTTAGTAATATTGATAGCATTTTTAAAATATTAAGCTAATTAATTTTTGTTTGAACAAGCTAAGTAAAGGTATAAAAAATGAAGCCACGAGTAAAATATCTAATTTGTTCTTGTTGTACAATTTTTGTAGGAATTTTTTGGTATGGTGTTATTTGATTTTTTCAGTCAACATATTATAGTCTTTACTACGGGAAAATCTTTCATTCTCAATGAAAACTATGTATCTTAACTAGTAAGAGTAAAATCACGCCGAAACTATAAACATTTTATAAAGATTACTTACAAAATAAGCAAAAAAAATAATATTATTTAATTGCCTTCTATTTAAACCAAAAACTTCTTTAAAAAGTGAAATTTTATACGTTAAAATCGGACTACCATTCCTAACAATGCGAAATTTTGTATGTGTGTGTATATTTGTAGAGACGCGCCCGAGCAAAACTAGATAGACTACGTCACTAGAAACTTAATAAAACTTAGATTATATCTACACTTCAGATGGAGCTATAGGTCACGTGATATTCGCGAGTTTAGGAATAGCTTAATGCAACTTCGATGTGATAGAACAAGACAAAGTAATCAATATTACCGTCCCTTGACGCTTACCCCTTTATAAGACTTGTCACAATCTAATATATGTGACAAACAAAGCGCCAATCACAAGTATCGTGTCGAAATGAATAATTAAATATTAAGTTACAGTTTTTAGTGAGATATAGAAAATACATATATTATCATGTTATAATTTCTCAATGTTATACAATGATTATATACGATAGGATGCATTGTTATTGCTAGTACGAGCCGCAGCGACAGAAAATATGTAGAATGAATAAACAAGAAAATTTAATTAAATTAATAACTTTTGACATGTAAAAATAAATCAAATTTAATTTTATTGAACATTATCTTATGTTATTTTATCAATGTTTTATATTTATAGTTAAAATTGATATTAAAATTAATGAAAAATTCTACAACATTATCCATTTACTCATCGATAAAGCTAAATGTTGAAAAGAAAATATTGGGCAAAGAAATAACATCAGCCATCTGAAAGTCATTCAGCAGTCCCTGGCAGAACGGTGCCCGAAATAATGATATCCAAAGACCAGGGTCCTAACTCCTATTTTCTAAATATTTAAAGTTTAAATTATTAACATTACAATAAGGCGTAGATGTAATAAGTTAAGACGTGGTAAAGATGTCATATTAAATGTCCATCTACAGTATTCATTTTATTAACGGCATAAATAAGTTCGCATTAATAACATCTATCTTAATTTCAAAAACCTATAGGTAGGTATGTAGAGGTTTACGGGAGATACCTACTTTTTTTACGAAAATTCAGCAATATACCTCCAAAAGTTTTTGAGTAAACAGCTGTAACATATTATGGATATGATATTGTACCGATTCCGTTTTGTACCTTAGATCTTACGGAATCCTAAAAAGGTAGTTAGTATTATTTCCATTACATTTTAAATTATATTGTTGTGAGAAACGTGTTTTTAAATGTTTTAAAAACAATTATTTTAACGGAAACTGGCATAATCAATTACACTGTAACTTTTTAATGGTTCGCAATGGGACTAAAATATTTTGTATCTATTCCATTTTCCAATTTAAATTAAATATATTTCCATATAACTTATTTCGAACTTATTTACTAGTAAGTATATTTTATTCAGTTAAGTTGTTGGTTACAGCCATATTTAGATTATGTGAGTCCTTTTTTTTAAACATTGATATAAACATATTAAGTATATCTAGTGAGCTATAGTCGTGCACAATGGACATGCACAAACTCAAAAGAGAAGCCTAGACGACGAATTGTCCGTTGTCATCGACACTACTAATGAATATTACTTATTATAACTTCGCTTTATTCGAGTTAATTTATTTGAATTTTACCGCCAGTCGCAATTGTGCTCCAATCATTGC